TGGCTGGCTGTTCCAGGAGCAAAGAGGACCCCATCAAATCTGGTTCATGGTCCCAGGAGCAAAGAGAAGCCCCCTCAAACCTGGCTGGTGTCACAAGAACAAAGAGAATCCCATCAAACCTGGATCATGGTCCTAGGAGCAAAGAGAGCCCCCATCAAACCTGGCTGGTGTCACAAAAACAAAGAGAATCCATCAAACCTGGATCATGGTACAGGAGCAAAGAGAATCCCCATCAAACCTGGCTGGTGTCACAAGAACAAAGAGAATCCCATCAAACCTGGCTGTTCCAGGAGCAAAGAGGACCCCATCAAATCTGGTTCATGGTCCTAGGAGCAAAGAGAATCCCCATCAAACCTGGCTCATGGTCACAGGAACAAAGACAACCCCATCAAACCTGGCTGGTGTCACAAGAAAAAAGAGAATCCCATCAAACCTGGCTGGCTGTTCCAGGAGCAAAGAGGACCCCATCAAACCTGGATCATGGTCACAGGAGCAAAGAGAACCCCCCTCAAACCTGGCTGGTGTCACAAGAACAAAGAGAATCCCATCAAACCTGGCTGGCTGTTCCAGGAGCAAAGAGAGCCCCCATCAAACCAGCTCATGGTCACAGGGAGGGAGGAGGAAGGGCAAAGCTCAGGGTTCACCCCTCAGGAGAAGATGAGATCCCAATCCATGCATCACCCTCCTTGTTAAGCCCCATTGCTCAGGAGAGGGTAGGAGAGGTAAGGCTGACAGTAATTAACCCTGGACTCAATGATCTTGGAGTTTCTCTCCGACATTACTGATTCTGTGATTCTAGCTCCAGTCAGGGACTATTTCTGCTATTTCCAGAGCTACCTCATTCCAGCATGATGGCTCTGGCAGGACAAGAGGCAATGGGCACATTAAGAAACAGGAAATTCTATCTAACCAAGAAACCTTTCATTATGTGGGGGCAGCCAAACACTGGGACAAGGCTGCTAGGAGAAGTTTAGGAGTCTCCACCCATGGAGATACTCAAACCCAAACTGGATGTGGTCCTGGACAAGCAGCTCAGATTTCCTGTTAGAGCAGAGAGGCTGCTCTAGATCATCTTGAGA